GATTATTGTCTTTCTTTTTTTTTTTCTTTTCTTTTCTTTTCTTTTCTTTTGAAAGGCAATTTTGGATTATTATCTACTTTTACCTTGTCAATAGCATATCTTCTCGGCATTGTTAAAAAGACAAAAAACAAAAAACAAAACAAAAAAGGAACCTTGTCAATAGCAATGGCTTGATAATGACACAATTACCAAAAAAATCGAGCAAACTTTGTCCTTATTTCATATGCAATCCAAACAAATTGAAAATTGAAAAGAAAATAAATTACTTTCGCTTGAAAGAATCACCAGCTGGTGAAGCAGAACTGGATCACACAGAGACCTCATGTGTGCATATGCATTGGTGGGGAAATACTTACCAAATCTACCATGATTGAAATTGATTGCATATGCACGAGAGAGGATATGTTCTAATTAGAACATGCAATTTCACATGTGGGAAAGATCTTCTCCATGGTGCACAAAATCTTTGTTAATATTGTTTAATCAAATCATTTACTGATATGTAGCCACCGATCGAATCAGAATTGGGTAATAACCCTGACAAAAATCTGTCCTCGTTTAATCCAACCGCTTAAATGTACAGTGACATGAACTTATATAATCCTATAATAACCCTGATATTCAAATGCCAAAACTTTAATCATTATACAGCAATCCAATCCAAAGAGTTATGTAATTATACCAACATTATTTTTCAATGTTTCATTTAAAACAGTTAAGCGTACTTAGACGTCAAATGGAGAATAGTATTAGGATTATGACAGCTTTCCTTGTGTTGTAGCTATTTTCCTGACGTTATTATTTGCAAGTTGGGTATTTAATATTGATTGTCTTCTTTGATCATAACCAAAAAATCTAAAAGAACTTTATCCAAAAAATCTTAGAAGAAGCTTACCATAAAAGACTACGTGTGGTGAGCTCATCAGAGCGAACTAGAGATAAACATTAACTGTGACCATAAAGTCAAAAAAGAAGAATCTCAAGAGACTAAGCATGGAAATATAGTAAGGGAGGCCAGGGGTTCAATTAATTGGAGTATTTTAAGAGGGCCTTAGCCCTTAGGTGTGTAGGACAGATCATATAAGGTGGAATTAGTTAACTACTAAGATGTTTTCATCGTAACAAGGGGAAGAATGGAAGAAAACAAAGAATAGTACAGAGATGGGTGGGGAAGGTGGGAATCCTGGCAAGAAATCCTTAGAAATGTCGTTTTGTGAAGGGAGAGTAGTACTGGTGTGGCGTTTTGGGATTAGATTTAGGAGAGGGTAGCACCACAACAAACAACAAATTGTTCCACGTGATGCGGGCCTTTTGGAAGTGAGTACGGGAATGGGACTGTCATTGTCCTTACTTGTGGCGGCTGTGTCTCAACAAATAGCCAAGAAATGACCCACCACTTCTTTTTATTTCTTTTTTTTTTTCCTCTAATTTTCTCTCATCGAAGGATGCTTCAATGCCTTCATTTGAAGCTAATTAATGAAATCCTTAAAAATAAAGATGTTTTGAATGCATGTTAATTCATGCAAATTTAAGTGAGGAGAGAATTAGTTTGTTTTTCCTTACTTGTGAATATTTATTTAATTCACTTATTATACTTAAGTTATATGATAGATTTTATTTTATTAAAAAAATATTTTATAATTTAAACTGTATTAAATTATAAAATAATAAATATCAAATAAGTAAGGCCTATCTTATTGTTAGAATGAACCCCATTAATTTAATAGCTAATATTTTTCAATTTAATGCAATTCAAAATTGTAAAACACCTAAATGGTTCCCCTATTAATTAGATATTTCCTCTATTTCAAAATATAAATCATCAAACTTTCTTGATGTAACTTTAAATAATACATTTTTTAGTATAAGATTGATAATTGAAATTTTCTTTTTTTTAATATGTAATTTTTGTTGAATATTTTTATTTAATTAAAAATTTTAATTATCATTCATATACTATAAGAAAATGACAAAAATACCTAAAAAAAGTTAAATGACTTATATTTTAAAATTGAGGGAGTATAAAAACTTCATAATGTATTGTGGTTAAAATGATTAGGCATTTAAATGATGAGTTAGAATCAACTTATATATTACATTTATATAAAATCTTACAATTTATTTTTTTTTTCACTTTTAATGGTTATGATTTATTCATTTTTATCATATTTATTTAAAATAATTATCTTTTTTATCTCAAAAAATTATTATAAATCTCAACCATTAAAAGTGAAAAAATAAATAATTAAAATTTTATATAAATATAATATATAAGATTTATGTGTAAATAAATCCTTACTTTTCAATTATTAGTAATTAAGTGACAATAATCAAAGATGATTACATGGGGTGTTGGATCTTACATCAGGGCTCACCTAAACCAATAAGCTTCACTGATATGAAAGGGTTGGACCTACATGGGCAGGAGCTGAGGCCACCAGAAAAATCCAACGGAGAGATGACCCACCCATTCCATGATTCAGACTGCTAGAATCCACCAAGGATCAATGGAGCTAGCTTTCACTGTAATCGTAATGCATATTTTATTCTCTGTTTTTCTTTTTATATCTGAAGATTTGGAAGCTTGTGCAAACTTGCTACCTTGTCCTGGCCTTTGTCGTCCTTAGATGCTGCAACATTCTTCCCATGATTTATTAATCGTAATCTATTCACTTAATTATTACAAATTTGACTCTTAATCCATAAAGTTATTGGTTAGATACATAGAAACATCAGATTCTCTAACCCTCTGGCCGAAGATCTGTGCTCTGCCATATATGACAAATACAAGCCTAATAGTTAAGGATTTGGAAGTTTTACAGTGAAAATAAATATTACTAATTGTAATATAAATATAATTTGCTTGAACGCAATAATCTTCTTCCTCTTGAAAGTACGTATTAAAGGTCTTAAACTGAAGTTTCCTTAAAAATATATATATTCATTGAGTAACATAGCATGCATGAGGTAATAATTTGCTTCTTATAGTATTTTTATTTATTCTCTTACAGAGCATGTTTAACGGCAAAACTAGAAATAGATCAAATGTAGAATTTCTTTTCTTTTCATCAATTCTACGCTTTTTTTTTCCTCCTTCTTAAGAGATTTTGGGCAAAATCTTTAATTACAACCTTACTTGAACAGGATCTGTTCCATAGGTTCGTAAACATCCTTAAGTTCAAAGGTAAGGTCTATTTTTTTTTTTTTTGGTAAATAAAGGTAAGGTCTTTAGTCTCTGTTTTTTTAACCAAAATCTTGACGTCGGCTTCTTTATTTTTGATAAATTTCTCAAGAGTCATGGTGGGGCCGATGCCCAACCATGGTTCAATGTGTTTCCCCCACATCACTTGTACTACATATGTGTCTAATCTTCAAAGCAACATTCATTTTGGCTTTCCACCAAAAAAAAAAAAACAGTCATTTTGGCTACTTGATTCTATTTTCAACATTGTACGAATTCTCCACTTAAATTTTGGAGTTAAATAATGAAATTTATGATATTAAATTAATGAATATACATAATTAATGTTAAAAGTCAATCATAATTAATGTCACTTAAAATTATAATATTTTATTATCAAAAACATTGTGCCACAATCATTTCCCCTTAGATTTTAGAGAACTTATGTCAAAAACTAGTGGGATGCATTTATTAATGTGTTAAGCGAAAGATCCCATATTACTCCGTCTAGAGAAACATGTGAACTTTGTATAGAATAGATATCTAGACCTCTTACAACTATGCACCTACCCTAATTAATTTTAAGTTGAATGTGATATAACAATACTTATCAAACAAAATAATTAAGAAATAATTTTTTTATATTATTTTTTTTATAATTTTATTTATTATTTAAATAATTAATTTTTTTATTCATTTAAAACATATAATATTAAAGATATTTACTCATTTAATTATATATGAAAATTATATAAAAAAATAATATTAAAAAATTATTCATTTATAATCACCAATCAAGCTAATTAATTTTAAGTTAAACACTCCATAATAATAATTTTTTGATACATAAGGATTAAAAATTAAATTCTAGATTATGACTAAAAGGATAAGTAAACTCTACTACTAGATTATATATTCTAATGTAACTCTATGACATCATTTACAATAGAACACTTACAAGCTCACATGTGGATTCAAAAAGGAAAAATTGCATAATTATATGTCCATTAGATTTTTCTTGATTATTTAGTGAAGACTTAATTTTAAATCTTATAAATGTAAAAATACTCTAACAAAATTTATTATAAGTGAAATAAAATTTTTTTATAATGCCTATAATACTCTTTTTATTATATAATTGTTAAAATATTAAATTTTTATTAATATTAATTAAATAAATAACTATATAATTAAAATATGACAATTAAAATTCTCTCATTTTTTAGTGCCTTTTTCAACATTAGAGATAAATTTATTTTATTCAATTTCAAATTACATGATATTTTAGAATTAATTTTTTTGTTTGATTAATTTAGTTAAAATTTTAATTAACTGAAAATTTTCATTTTAATTCACGACTAAAGATAAAAAGATTTTTTTACTTAAAAAGATTAAAAGAATTTAGTTGATTGAATGAACTGTATTAATAAAAAAATCAAAATTTTGGTAATTAAAAATTAAATTTTTGAATTACATGGAATTATTAAAATAAAAATCACAAAACAAAGTTATAAAGGATAAGAGAGGGGAGTTTTACTTATTATTCTTTTTAATTTTAATGTTTATTTAATTAAAATTAATAAGTAATTAGAATTTTAATTATTTGTCAAAAAATGATATTTAGACCTTTCAAAAAATATTAATACACTTATGAAGAATTTAATTAGAGAAATTTTACTTGTATAAAATTTAAAATTCAGGCTTCACTTAATTTAAAAGGAAATTTTGATACACCCACTTTAAAGCAATTTTCCCATTCAAAAACATTTCATCTTCCATCCTTACCAACAATCTTGACATAATTAACTCATTTGCCAGCTTGGAGTTGAGTATTTTTTTGGCATATGAACAGTGAATGCTCCTCTGTTTTCCTAATATTATGAATTTGTACTTTGTCGTCAAATCTTAAATCTAATCAGAGTGACCGTGCAACACAACATAAAATAACATCTCCAAGAAATTAAACAAGCTCTTAAACTCTAAATATATGCAAAATATGGTATTCCATACTCCTATATTACCACTAAAAATACAAAAGTTTTTGGCTGATTTCCTAATGATCTTTATTGGTTTCCTTATATCCCTAGTCCTACTTTGTTTTCAGCAGACCCCATGAACACAAAAGCATGGCTTTTCCTCTAACTCTGCACTCTTGTCTTCCTTTTTAACTCTTACGCAAAATCCCAAATTTTGAATTTAGTCTTTTTAGCCCTCCTCCCATCTTGTCATTTTCTTTGGCAGAGATCAGGCCGTGGGACGATATGCGGTTTTGATTGATACATGGACTGATTGAATTTCAGCACACAGCAGCTTCAGCTGTTTCTCTGTTGAACCCAGTTTGAGAAAGCTTGGAGAGTGTTCATGTCAGCTCTGTAATGTTTCTGTGTGAACTCAAGCAGCATAGGCCATGTAAAATCTGGGTATATTCTGGGGTTCATTGTGTCCACCAGTTCAGTTGGTGGGGTTATCACTTTATCCCCCTTTGGACACAGAAAAAATGCCAGAGATTTTCTTGGAATTTGGCTGTTCACCACAGCCCTGTGCAAGCAACTCTTGTATCTCCCATTCGAAAGTGCCTAAAAACATCAATTAAGCCAACAACAATCATAAGCCTTTGAAAAATCCCACATCTAGTAAGAAATTTATTGTGACTGTATGTAAAAATAAGTTTGGTAGCAAATACCAATCAATTCTACAGTTTTTAGTGAGGAAAAAGGGTCATGTTATTACCATGAAAGTGTCGCCAATGTTGACAACGAAGGCTTCGAAATTGGGGCTAATTGAGCGCCATTCATTGTCAACGAACACTTGAAGACCACCCACATGGCCTTGGTGAAGAATGGTTAATGACGTAGGGTCACAATGAGGTCCTGTTCCTAAAGTCCAGTCTGGTTTTTGGCATTGTGGATAGTAATTCAGCCTCATTATAGACTCATTTTCCTCAAAGATTTCCCGGAAATGGGTCCCGCCTACTCCGAGACTCATTGCTAACAACTCCATGATCCCTAGGGAAAGCTTGCTCATGGCTTCACAGTAGTCTTGGTAAACCGTCCTGTAGAACAAAAACATGAATTAGGATTTTAGATTTTCTTTTTCGTGTATTTAATAATGGATTATATAACAGATTGCAACACGAGAATAACATTTTTGGCATATACGCACCCGTATTGCTTGAATTCATCTCCCATTGTATTCACGAAATAATCTTGGACAATTCGGGTTGAGGGTGAATACTGGAAAGAAAGTGTCTCCTTCCACGGTAACTTGGACGAGAACCTTCCGGTGAAGCTACTAGCATATCCACAGTGCTCGCCGAGCTTCCTCTGAGCTCGTTGCTTCTCCCCTAGCGGCAATTCAAAGAACTTATCCATGTACTCGTGAGCGGCGATGATGAGCTCTGCATCAACCCCATGATTAACCACGAGAAAGAACCCGTGCTTTTGACATGCCTCACATATTAGCCTTGAGGCTTTCCTTGCGGCAACACAGTCACCGGAAAGGAAGCCTCCCAAGTCCACAAGTGGCACTTGGAGCTCCGGTGGATTCACAGAAGGCTTCTCATCATCAGGCCATATGAACTGGTCGGGAATGTCGTCTTGATAACTAAGCACCGAGGCATCAAAAACCGGCGGTTTTTGGTCGTCTTTCCGGTCATGTTGATTCATGGAGGAAGGTATGGTTTTGATGCAATCAACCGCCATTGCACGAAATGTAATATCTAAAGCTCTAAAAGATCAAAGCTATATATATATATGAAATTTTTCTTTGGGAATTTGAGGCTAAATTTGAGAGGAGTGATGAGAGAAAAGTCAAAGGCCGCTCTCACTGGGGAAATCGGTGAACAAAATTTGGAATCTTATATTGTCGCTCCTGAATTATTTTTGTTTGCAGAAAAGGGCTTTTAGAATACGAAATTTACAGGGGTTGGGTCTTGAGAATGGGAAATTACACAATCTCTGCTAGGAGTTACAGGAAGGAATTGTCTTTTACATGGTATGCCAGTAAAGCGTTTCCCAATGGTGTTTTGGCTTTTTATTGGTTTGAGGGATATACTAAGGTCACCTGCTTAGGCCTCAGACCCATAACTCACTGCATCTCAGGGAGCAACCCTAGCTGAGAATTATTGGGAGATTTTGATGCACTTGAAAACAAATTATTTTTCAATGTGAACTTAAATTTTGAAAATCACATGAATCTCAACTTACAGTTACAGATTTGTCAAGTCAACGAGGACTTTTGGAATACTGTGTAAATTTTTGATGTACGGGGTTATTGAAAAGATTGCACATTTCAATACAGGGGGTAAAAGGAAAAGACAGAGAAATAGTTGTGTTGGAAGAGGCAACGATCTTTGGTTGAGACAAAATGACAGAAACTAGAGGCTCAGGGCAGCAGGAGAAGAAATAAAGAAATGGAGGGATTGATGGCTAATTTGATGCGGGTAGATAGGGGTTACTGATGCATATATAGAGGCTGGGATTGAGCTGGGGGTTAGGCATGTCTTTTCCAAACTTTCGACATCATTTGAAAAAAAAAATTCACTAGGGGAAAAGCAGAGACAAAAAGGAGAAAACATGTTTTACAATCTGATATTAAAGATCTTACTTACGAAATAACTTTGATTTTGTTCGAGTTATCCACTATTGCTGTGTAAAAGCTAAAGATTCTCAACTTTAGCACTAGCTTGCTGTAAGTTTCAACAACTTCCATGCTAGCGCCACAATTTTAGACTTCACAAATTTGTTGGGTCGAATTAGGTTGGGTTGTCGATCGCGGATCAAACATGTTTGTGGTCAAAAAGTCTTACACATGATTCATTTTAAATAAATAAGTGCAGTTAGGTTGATGAATTAAGTCAACTTTTAACAATTATTTGCATGACTAATTGAACTCATGAAGTTGTAATCCAATCCGTTTGATCTGTAGGTAATTAAAGCAAATCAGATCAAAACAGGTCACGGTTTAAAAGTCTAACCCATTTCCCGTTTCTCCCCTGCCCCCACTTGTTTACATGCCGACTTTAATCGACTTGGCAGACTTTTTGCATTTTAACCACATGAAAAAATGATGATCCTTGAATTTTAGCTTTGTGAAATCACTGACATGGGTTGAAAGTTTTTTTGCTAAAAATTTTGTCAAAATATAAAAATTCTCCATTAGTTCATTAGGATTTGGACTACAAAAAATGAACCATATAATTAGTGGGATTTTATAGAATTAGGAGTTAATCCTATTAATTAATAAATTATAGAGTTTACAATTTATACAAAACAGATTGCAAAACATCATTCTTCTCTATTATATAACAATCAAATTATTTTCTACCACATTCCAATCCTCCAAGCAAGACCATGAATGGTGTGTGTACATCGTACCAAAAGCTACATAACAAGCTACAACAGAAAGGACAAAATAGATGTCGCAAATTGCAGACACTATTTTCTTCATCTCTAGCAACTTGCAACACACTACCTCATCTACAAAAGAAGATACAGAGGGCAAGTAGGCTCTGACCCATCTTCGGTTTTAATTTTTAAGAACAGAGCTATGCAATCTTATCAACTTTTTATTCTATATATTTTTTTAAAATAATTTGTCCTATTCATATAAAAAATTATAATAAATCTTTATAATTTATAATAAAAAAATTCAAAATTTTATATAAAAATTATGTGTAGATTAATCTTAACTTACACAAGTTAAGTGTAGGTCTATATAGACACACAAGTCAACGTCAATGAGGTTTTAATTAATAGTTTAAAGTTTAAACTTCCACTTCCTACTCCTTCTAATGGAAGAATCTGGAAGAGCGCACCATAGACATTGAATTTGTCAAGGTTGACTCTAACTAGTGTATTGGACTTCAGGCCTGGATCTTGTCCTGAGATCACCCACAAAGCCTCGGGTTGGTAATATAGGAAAAATATTTTGATACTTAAATCAATAATAATTTATAAATTTAAAAAAAAAAATTCTCAACTAAAGAATAAGAGAGAGAATAATTACAATAAATGATTAATTGTAAGGAATATAACTCCATTGATGACACCTTTACTCATGTCATTACCTCATTTGCTCTCGTCTCTATTTTATGCATGGCACTTTTATGAAGGCCTATGCTTGTGCTTACTTTGAGTTTGGAACTTGGGGCCCTTTACATGGTATTAGATCACTATCTCAATAATTACCAAAGTAAAAATATCTTATTTGCAAACGAATTAAAAATGTTGTTTATAAATACCCTTTTGTTCTATAAATACGTTTTAGTAGTTTTTCATTTTGCTCAAAAATGCGAAACCAAGGAGTTCTAATGATATCTAATACATCAATTCAATGTAATCCTTTCCTGGTGAAAAGGAATGCATTAACGAAACAGAGAGAGTTCTTTACAAACCTACACAAAGCATAGTTGACTTGCATAGGTACATGCAAAATGAGGCACCGAAGACTTTTTTCCCACTAAAAGCATGATTCTCACAAAATATCTCATTAGCGGAAAGACCTATATGAATTAAATATTGACAATCGGAGACAACATTTTGGTCATGTTAGATAGTTTGGTATAGCTATTTTTTGGGTCAAATTATAAAATAGGCAAAATTTTAATAAATTCTTTTAGAAAACTAGGAATAGTTAAGCTTTAATGTTAATAATTTTCTATTAGGTCAAACCTTCTATTTGCACCCTAAACATTATTGTTTTTATAGTTAACATTTTTTAAAATTTTTACTTCTAATTAATTACTTTCATAATTTAAAACTCGTAAAAAATTTAAAGTTAACAATCTAATCATGCACAAGTCAAGGTGTAAATAAGGAGTTTAGTTGCTAATTTTTTAGTTTTTTTTTTTTATAGATTTCAAATTCTAGAAGATATTGACTAGAAGTAAAAAAATTTGGAGGGTGTTGATTACAGAAAACAATAATATCTAGAGTATAAATAAGGGATTTAATATTTCTATTAAATTTAGAGATAAATAAAGAATGTGTATTTATTCTATTTTTTAAGAAATAGTTATTCCTTACTTAATTATTTTTTAATATAAAAGAAAAACTAGATATTAAAACTTAAATATTTTTAGTTTCTTATAGAAATTTTTTAATTTTAATTTATTTTTATAATTTATCAAAAAATAGTCATTACCATCAACCAAACAAGTAAACAATAAAACAAAGATCAATTTAGAGCCCGTTGCTAGAGCTTTTTGTGTTAGAGGGAAATATTTCCCAGCAGTACTTTTCCTCTTTCTTTTTTCTATTTTACGTTTAGAAACTATTAGAAAGAAATATTATTTTTCAACTGTTAGAGTGCTTATAAATAAGTTTTAAAAAGTTGTGAGAATTAAATTTTAAAAAATTACTTGTGAGTACTTTAATGTTGACACCTCAGACCACAAGGCTTTCCCTCCAAGCTCCCAAAATCTCAGCTCACTCCATGAGTCACCATGGATCCTGACTAGGGTGGGCAAAAATCCACCCGACTCGTTAATTCGACTCTAACTCAACTTGTAGAAATAGGTTAAGCTCTATGCATCTCAACTTGTAATTTATAGATAACTCGTAATATCAATCCGTATGAGTTACGGGTCAGATTAGGGTCAAACAGCAAGTTAGTAGGTTGATTCATTTGTTTTATTTTTTTATTTTTTTAAAAAAATATTATACTTATTATTATTAATTAATTTTCTTATTAGTAGCTCTCTCCATTAATTCATACTCTTCAATATCGTTTCCATTACTCAAATGGTTTTGAACTTATTTTGAGTGTTTACTCATCATAATTTCTTCTTCTTTCTCTAGAAATTATGTGAGTTTGATCTAATTAAAAAGTATCATGAATTAAATGATAATACAATTAAAAATATTAAAGATGTGATGCTAGGATATAAACATAATAATTTAGTGAAAGATGTTCTTGGAAGAGCAATTTTATCATTAAAAAAAAAAGGTTTAAACTCCTTGATAATGTTTTAAAATGATTGTAAAATTAAAAATTTATTTTCTAAGAAATTTAAATATTTTAAGTTTAATTGTTATTCAACTTACTGTTATTTATAACTTTATGATTTTTCTTGATTTAAATGTTTATGGTTAAGACTATAAAATGCTTAGTGTTAATCAATTACAATATTTTAATTAAATTTAGATATATATATATAATTTTATTTGTATATAATAAAATTGATAAAAATAATTATAAAAAATAAAAATAAGGTCATAGGTTAACTCGCAACTCACTAGGGTCAAATTAGGGTTGGACTTTTCCAACCCACAACCCATTTATAACTCAACCCATATAACCCGTCATCTAAGTTTACCCAATCCGAACCCGACTCAAGCCACCTATTTGCCAAGCCTAATCCTTACTTACTTCCCTAGCTAGGTCCAGGCAAACATATTGTAGATTTTTTAATTTCTTGTCCAATTTATTCACATACTTATTTTCTTATCATATCTTGTCCCGTCCTATCCTAAATTTTAAAATTTGTCCCTATGATTTTATCTTTATTACCTTTTCTATCTTAAAATAATTGATACTTTTTTGTTCAAATTAATAATTTAAAAATAATTTAGTAGTATGTGTTTACCTATACTCTTAAAAAATAAATAAAAGATAAAGAAAAAAATTTTGCGGTAGAATAAATAATTAAATTAATTAGATAAGAATATAGTTAAAGTAAAAAATATATATTTGTCTATAATTTAATGTAGAAAAAACGACAATTATTTAAGACAAAGTGAGCAATTAATAAACCACACTATTTTTTTAACCTTAGTGGTTGAATTTTCTGGTAAGTATTGTAAATCAAATTCAAGATTAAAGTCTTGGATTTGACACTCCAAAAATAATAATAATAATAATATTTTTAAAGGCAACATGCCAATGTAAAGGTATGCTTCTAAGATCACATATTAAAGATTAATCTTGATATATGTAAAAATTGTCTAAAGATACTTTAATCATAAATTTAAAGAAAAAATTAAAAAGAAAATGTTTTGACTATGCAATATAATAAAAATAGTAACCACAACGTCAATGATCATATGTATACATACCACATACATTATCTTGTCCTTTGAATATTTGAGATTTTTTCCCCTTTTTTTCAAAACAGTAAGGAGAAAATTATATTAATTCAAGGGACCGTATCAACCATAAATTGAAAGATTTGGTTTGAACGGAAAAATAAGATAAAGATCAAGATACACAAAATGTAAAGATAAGGAGATTTTTTGTTTCATGTTTTACCCCCTTTGGAAGGTGGGATGGAACAATGAGAGTTTTAGTGAGAAAGAAATTGCAATAGAAACCCAAAAATTGCTTCCATGGAGAAAAAGAGAACAAACATAAACAAACTGATCAAAAGTTATTTCAAACCAAAAATCATTCATTTTCCTTGCACGCACCGACAGCATCTTGTGAGCAAGATTGA